CTGGCGAATGAACTGGACGCTCGTTAGGCGGAAGCCTCTATCGTCCGTCTGACCTGACCAAATTACCATCAGCTGTTTTCGATTAATCAGGCGCTCACATCTAAGATACCTTGGGTTGATTAAAATTGTATTGGCCAAAGCGTCTTTGGCGCTTACTGGTAATTTTTCCGGTTGTTCCCAATTTTAATCCCGTTTTGCACCCTGTTTTTGCCTTTTTATTGCGGTCGTTTACTATTGTATACGTGTTGTAATTCTACTCTGTTTTCCACATGAACATGGCTGTCTCGCTAAACACCGAGGCGGATGGACCTATGGGGTCCTCGTTTGATGAGTCTACTGCAGCTTGCGGACAGGTTAACTGTTCAGAGCCAGTAACAGATTTATCTGGCGGTATGCAGTGTGACGTCTGCTGCCGCTGGTATCACGAAAGCTGTACCGGCCTACAAGCTGACCAGTACAAAATGCTATCATCCAGCGTTCACTTTCTTTTCAGCTGTGCTGAATGCTGCGCTCAAAGATCGACGCGCCCGGCTATCACCGGTGCTAAACTTTCAGCGCTGGCTTCAAGTTGGCAGATGTTGAGAAGGCGATAGCCAAACTCGCCTCTATTGCGTCGCTCGATACGAAAATGGATTTGATTTTAAAATCCCTGAATATTTCGATTGAAGACACTGCAATAGACGGCAACATTGCTGACGATCCATCCACTGGGGTCTGTCACTCGGTCATGAAGTCGCACATCCTACCGGCCAATCCAGGTAGCATTGCTGGCTATCCTCATGAGCCGATCAAAGTGAAGAAAAATAGGGTGCGGAAATACCAAAAGCCCTCTGCTAAACCCAGAGAATTAGTTGCCACGGCATCGAAAAAGATGCCGTCTTTGACAGTCGTAAAGTCGTCTGACGATTGTGCACAGGAGAACCTTCCGAAGATGCTGACCGTCTCGGCCGCCACTGAACCAGCCCGTTCTGACGAAGTGCTGGTAACTGCTCAATGCGATACAAGGTCAACGGCCCCTGCTCCAGTGAACCAAAAGAAGAAGCGGACTAGATCTGCTCGTAAAACTTCGAAGGGGCTTGAAGACCCAGGAACTAGTAAGACGCCGGCAATAGAGCGGAAAACCTACGCTACCGTTGCTTCGACGTCGTTTGTGAAGACAGGGACAGTCCCACCGCCAGTGGTGAAAACAGCTGGTATAGGTGTCGAATCCAAGGCACGTGGGGTAAACACTCCCCGTCGTGCCGACTCTTTCACGGATAGTAGCGTTATATTCCGTAACGTTACTGAATCTGCGGCCGCTCTCCCAAGGGAACGCATCTTGGATGACATCAAGTGGCTGAAACTGTGTGTCAGCAAGCTGCTTCCACCTGGCTTCCCTGGTGTCACTGTCAGAAAGCTGACCAGATTGGGGAACGTCCCTATCGCTACGCCAAATCCACGACCCCGACTACTTCGCGTGGTCCTTTCTACCCCGGAGGAACGCAAATCATTACTGCGGTTTGCATTCAAACTTAAGGGTAGTGGTGTCAGCGTTCAGCCGGACCTACCACTGGCAGATAGATTGAAGTTAAAGGAGGCTATCAAAGACCTCAAAACTAGACGGGCGGCTGGTGAGCAAGGCCTCCGTCTGGTGGGTTTTCAGGTGGTCAGCCGGAAGTTATTTTCCGCCCTATCAGAACCCATCCTGATGGCGCACGACCCAGGGATGGTCGTGCCGACTTCCTTGAGGTAGTACTTAGCAACGTGCGTAGCCTAAGGAACAAGGTGCACGAGTTGGGTCTACTTGTAGACAAATCTCGTCCCGACATACTTGCTTTCACTGAAACGTGGTTGTCTCCGGATATCACGGACGGTGAGGTATGTTTACCTGGCTACGCGCTGCTTAGAACTGATCGCTCCGTTGGTCGCCAAGGCGGAGGCGTTGTACTGTATGTGAGCTGTAACTTAGATGTGTTGAGGACCTGCACATTCCAGTCGTCGGATCAGACTGTTGAAGCCCTATCGGCTGTTTTGTGCACTTCCTCTACCCAGTTTACAGTTATAGTGATATACAGAAGTCCTGGAAGTTCTTCCAGGGGGATACTTGACTTTATTCGCACTCAGTCTGCGAATAAGTGTTTAGTTCTAGGGGATTTCAACCTCCCGGAAGTCTGTTGGGCCGATCTTTCTTGCAATTCGGCATCAGGAACATTCGGTGCAGACTTTCTTGAACTGACTCTCCAAGTGCCTTTGCACCAGTTCGTGGCCTTTCCCACTAGGTATATGGACAACCAAATACCATCTACTTTAGATTTGGTTTTCGCTAAGTCCCTCGACTTCGTGACTGACGTTTCATACGGTGCACCTCTAGGGTCCAGCGATCACGCATGCATATCCTTTCGATGTGCTCTTTCAAGGCACCAAGAGACCGCTGTTGAATTACTTCCGAATATTTGGCAGGCGGACTTTAGTGCAATGCGAGCTAAGGCTTCAGTTCTGAACTGTGAGATCTCGATGGCTGACTCTGTCCAGTTAGCCTGGGATAAATTTAAGGCATACCTTACGGAGGTTTCCACTCCCTATATTCCACTCATGAGGAAAAGAGGGTTAAGGGCACAGCCTCCATGGATAGATACCACAGGCAAGTACCTACTCAAGAAACGGTCTAGATGCTGGCGAACCTACCAAGCAGCTCCATCAGCCAGTACCTATGATAGTTATCGAGAGATTAGAAATAAATGTAAGCAACATCTCAGAACTGCTCGTCTCCAGTACGAGCAGGGTTTAGCGGACTCGGCCGCAGCTAATCCCAAGAAGTTTTTTGCTTACGTTAAAAGACGCAGCGGGGCAAAACTGTCTATACCAGCGTTATTGCGAGCAGACGGGACCCGTGCGCAAACTGACTATGACAAGGCTTGTATACTTAGTGATCAGTATACTGGGGTCTTTGCTCGGGAGACCTCTTTACCACAGGTTGAATTGGTTTCAAGAGTTCCAGAGGATTCTTGCTTAGCTGAGTTTAGCATAACGGAGACTCAGGTCTTCGAGCTACTGCAAGGCATTAATCCCTCTAAAGCTTCCGGTCCTGATTCAATTCATCCGAAGCTGTTGCATGAATTGGCCACTGAGCTGAGTGGTCCTCTCACATGCGTGTTTTCAATATCGCTGGACAGCTGCATCCTACCTTCGGAATGGAAGGAGGCAATCATCTGTCCGATTTTTAAGGGCGGTGACAGCGCTCTACCCGCGAACTACCGGCCTGTCAGTTTGACAAGCGTAGTAGTCAAGTTGTTTGAAAAGCTGATAAGGGATTCAGTGGAGAACCACCTGAATAGATTCAACCTTCTCAGTGTTGCGCAACATGGATTCCGCAAGGGATTTTCATGTCAGACTAATCTACTTGTAGCTCGTGAAAGCTGGGCCGAAGCGGTAGACAGTGGCCACGCTGTAGACGTGCTATTCGTGGACTTTTCGAAAGCTTTTGACACTGTTCCACATCTTCGGCTCTCACTAAAGTTGAGATCTTACGGGATATCTGGTCGCGCCCTTCAATGGGTGTCTGCCTTCCTTGAGGGGAGGGAACAGTGCGTACGGGTGGGGCGTAGCCTTTCGCTCAGGCAAGCTGTCCTTAGTGGCGTCCCGCAGGGCTCGGTATTGGGGCCATTGTTGTTCGCGATCTATGTAAATGACTTGCCGGGAGAGCTAGGGGTGTCATCACTAATGTTTGCTGACGACCTTAAGCTCTGGAATATTGTGGATATCCCGGGGGTTCTTGAGGCAATTCAGCGTGCCTTGGATAGGCTCTGGGAATGGTCTACCTTATGGTTGATGCCCATAAATAGGGCCAAGTGCTCTGTTCTCCGAATCGGAGCTGCTAATCCTCCCACCCGATATGTTGTCGGCGGTGGTGAACTCCCTGTTGTCACTCAGCAGGTTGATTTAGGAGTCGTACACGCATCAGCACTTCATTCTGGAGACAACTGGAAGAAGGCTGCTTGTCGAGGGTTTCGTATGATGTGGTTTATCCGCCGCTCTTTCGGAATCCTAACGGCCAATTTGTTTGTGAAGCTATTCTCGGCATTCGTCCGACCCCACCTGGAATATTGTATCCAGGCTTGTCCACCATGTCTTAACCGAGACAAAATGGACTTGGAGAGGGTGTTACGAGTGGGCACTCGGTTAGTGCAGGGTCTACGGGGACAGACGTATCCTGAACGCTTGCTCAGTTTGGGGATGTACTCAATGCACTACCGAAGGATAAGAGGGGACCTGATTCTCACTTATCGTATTTTGACGGGTAAGATTGGCCCGGACTTGTCAGGGCTATTTAGTCCCGCTACGTTACCTAATCTCCGCGGTCACCCACTGAAACTGCATAAACCACGGTCTGATAGGATTAGGACGGAAACTCGTCTGTCGCGCCGAGTTATAGATCGCTGGAATTCGCTTCCAGATCACGTGGTTAGGGAACCTACGGTTAAGGGTTTTGCGCGCCAGCTCGATGCTCTTGGGTGGCAACAGCAAACTTTTCCTAGCTGACTCACCTTCACTTTTCAGTTCTTTTTTTAATGACTCAAATATCTTGGTATTCTACTTGCTTAGCTCTTTCCACTTTCTCTTTTGCCTTCTGAGTTTACTTTTTTCTCTTTCTTACTTCACGTAACCGGCCCAGCAGGGACTGCTAGGGCAGGATACGTGGGCATTAATTGGTTGGACAGGGTGTGATGCGGTCTTTGTTTTAGGTCCATCAGTATTTCAAAGTCTGCCAACTCCTGGTTCAACGACCCGCCGAAGAAGGAACACTCACGGGATAATCCTATCGTTCCAGTCCCGCTTGAACTTGAACTTGGGGGAACGCCACTAGTGATTGGCACAGAAGCAGAGAGGGTTTGATGCACTTTTACGCGCATTGTCCTACCGCTTAAGAAATCGGCAATCCAGAAAATTTTTTGTATTGCCAATTCCCTGGAGTTTATGTGGCAGTCGTACGTGTGGAACATTATCAAAGGCTTTACTGAAGTCAATGAATATTACGTTAACCTGTTTTCGGACATCTCTGGCTCCTGCCTAACTTTCCCTGACGATGAGTAAGTTAGAGATGCATGAGCTTGCTCTCCGGAAGCCATGTTGATCGTGTGAGATGATGTTTAGGTTCACCCAGTGTAGCTGGAGGGCGCACTTGACTATTCGTTCCATGGTTCTGCATACGACTGATGTCAGGCATATTGGCCGGTAGTTCGCTGGGTCTTGTTGGTTTCCCCGCTTGTATTTGGCAAGGCGGTACCTGCTTTCCAGCCTGTGGGTAAGCAGCCGACTTCGAGGGATAACCGAAATATTTGGCAGCGACATACTCAACTATCGCTTTGTGGAAGCTGGGATGCAATTCGTCAGGGCCTTGGAAGGGATTCGGGTCCAGTTCGAGGAGTAGCTTAGTGACTTCCTCAGGGTTACTTTCAACTTGGTCCATAGAGGAGTAGTGTGCAGGCAAACAGTTGTTGAGCAGAGGTGATTCCACTGGGAAGCGAGTAATATTGCGCAACCGGTAGGTTTACTTTTTCATCATCGCCGTAGAGAACGGCACGTTCCTTAGAAGAGGATAGAGCAAGGATTCCACTATCCGTTTTGGCATTTCGCTTGAGGTAAACAAAAAGTATTTTGATACAGTTTTTGGATTCCATCGCCAGTCCATGTTCATATTGTAGTGTTTTGTCTCGGTCCACTTCTGCCGAGCCAAAAGCGGTTCTGGTGCCGCACGATCTCGGGCTCACAATGCTCAATCTTTTTAGGTGATTTTCAGTAATGTGCGTAGCCTACGAAATAAACGGTGTGAAATTGGCACTCTTATCGACGGCTGCCGTCCAGATGCATTTACGTTCACTGAAACGTGTTGTACTCTGATCACACGGACTGTTAAGCGTACTTACCAGGCTACGCACTACCGAAGTGTGACCGCACCTGCGATTGGAGCGGCGGTTGCGTTGCTTTGTACATCAACCGCCCTTACTGTCTTTAAGACTTTCCGTCCACCAGGCGGTTCTGTTGAGACACTCGCAGCTTATTTAGGTATTGTATCCGTGCAACAAAGTTGTGCTGGTATATAGAAGCCCTGATAGTGTTGCTAGGGATCTCTTTGATTTCATCCGTGAACCTTCGGCACATAGATGTTTGGTGATGGGGGACTTTAACCTTCCCAAAGTTGACTGACATAATTTTTCTTGCGATGCTATTTCAACGTGTTTTGCTACTTAGCTTCTCGATCTATCCTTGCATGCTCCTGCACCAGTTTGTTGTTCGGCCCACTGGATTCATGATGGCTCAACACTCGTCCCTTTTGGACCTGATCTTTGCCAAATCCCTTGATATCGTCACATTGTATAAAACTCCCTCAGTGCTAACGACCACGCTTGTCTGTCGTTCAAGTGTGCTCTTAGTCAAACGACTAATGATTATCCTGACCATGTCCCAATCTATATGTTATAATCTTCTCACTAGACGCAACTCCAAAAATAACAATTCACTGCTCCACAAAACTTCTAGTCCAACCGAAGGAAAAAAGTAAAACGCCAATGAACTTGACAAAACAACGTATTAATCGCCGCCAACGAACACTGTACAACAACTGCGGACCTTGGCTGTATTTATAGGTCTCTACTGACCTTCGACTTCTAGAATTGGAAAGTCAGCTGCCAAGGTTAGTGGTTCCCTATATCTTTTGCCGAGAGGTCAGGTGGATTTTGATCACGTGTAGAAGAA